GAGAGATTTTAAAGCACTGCTTTTGTGTGTTAGTATAGGTTATCACAGTCTCTTTCCATAATGAATATAACTCTACGAACAAAAGTTGCATGATTAGGGCAGTATAGAAATATGAAGTGGTCACTGTGCCAGCTGCTGTATATGGGGTGGGCCAGAGAGAGAGCACAGGAGGTTTTGATAAGCCACCGAGTGCCACTCACCTTCATACACATGCCACCTCTGAGTAAATCCTAAACTACTCCACTTTCCACAAATAACTAGCAGTGACTACTTCAGGATTAATCTCAAAGATTTTTTAAAAATTATTAATGTAGATACTCTCTTTTATTGCTAGTGACAGCACAAATTGGTAAAATCAAGATGGAATCTGTTTTTAATAATGTGTATTGAAGACTTAAAAATGTCATGTATCATTCAGCCCAGCACTTTTGCATTTAGAATTATATCCCAAAGAAATAATTACAGGAGTGTGCAAACATTCAGTTGATAGTGAAAACCTAAGAAAAAATTCCAAAAAGAGGACTACAAATAAACTAATCTAATGATATTGAAGCCAGATTTAAAGTTAGGTAGTCAGTGTAGTTAGGTAAATCGGGTCTGATATCGAGTAAGATCTAAAATGGAGGCCATGTTGAGAATGAATTCCGGAAACGCAGGACAACTCATGGAATGTTCATGAAGTCCTGGAAAAGCCCAAGGCCAGAGCCCATCCCAAAGAAGTGTTAATGAACCGCCCCCAGCAAACTTGAAGGTGCTGACTCAGAAGTCCTTCCTGCCCAGATTACTTCTTTGACCCACCTGTGTCCCACCCCTCGGGCCTTCCCACCTACATTCCATCACTGAAAGAAACTATAAAATGGAGAGACAACCTCACTTCCACGGATTCCACCTCTTGGGTCCCCTTCTTCCTCCGGGAGAAGTCTTTTCTGCTGTCCTTTAATAAACTTCTAATTTCTACTCTGACCTTGCCACGGCATGCTTCTCTGGTGTTATTCTTCAACATTGGTGAAGCAAGGAATCGTCACCGGTCAACAGCAGTAACAATATCACTAAAATGACACCATAGAAAAATAGTTAATGATAAGGTTCATGATATCACATGAAACAGGCAAGTTACAGAGCAGTATAATCCAATTTTTCTCCATATAAAAATGATTGAAAAGACATATTGTTATTGTTAGCTTTCTTTAGTTGTAAAATCATGAAACAATCTTTTTCTGAAGCTTCTGATTTGTATTGCTTAAATGAGATATTATTTGTGTTATTGCAAAGGAAACAATAAAGGATATATTTTAAGCAGCAGCCTTACTTTCAGTATTTATAAATTTCCTCATGATTAAACATTGTCCAATTTCTTGTAGTCTACTTCCTTTGACCTTTGGAGCCGGCATGGCATTAAGCTAATTCTATCTTTGAATCCTAAGGTCTACTGCATAGACTGTGAGGCGTCTATGAAGTTTGGATATTCAATAACTATTGGGAGATGATGCCACAAAAATCCTTTGTATTTCTCACTAGAAATATCATTCTGAGTTTGCAAAAAGATGCAGATATTTTAGCTTAGAAATGAGTGCAAGCACCAGGGTTAATTAGCAATGCTCCAAATTATATACCACTGCTCTTTCTGTATAACTAACTATCAATTAGCTATGCTAATGAGAAAAGCAGGAAATGATTGTAGGAGAAAATGAAATCAGCAGGGAAAAAATAAAAACCTATTGTCTTAGGCCCCAGTGTGAGCCATCAGTTGTCAAAGCTACTAGAATGACTTATAAGTATAAATTCTGATCCCTTTGGAAAGAGATGGGGTATGAATCACAAAAGAATGTTGAATACTTATGTTTTTCTTTTCCATATGTTCCTTCAGAGAAGCCATTATCCAAATAATAAAATGACAACTATGAGCATCCAGAAGCTTAGAGATACAAGGCAAGACAGTGTATCCAATATCATCCTTGCAGGGGTGGGGAGAGGGGCTTTAAAAATATCTATGTCAAAGCCCACTCCAAACCATTCAAATAAGAATATCTGTAGAAGGAGCTCAATGAATCTACAAACTGCATAATATATCTTTGGTTGCTTCTTGCTGCTTCTTGAGTATTTACTCTGAGCTCTCTGGGTGGATGATAATGGTCTCAGGTAAAATATCTCTGGTTCTTCCACCTCCACCCCCATCATTCCATTTTCATGTAGGAGAACCAGGAAGAGAGTCTTAAATGTGTTTCCTGCTGATCCAGTATCTCTAAACACTTTCCTAATTGCTCTCTTCTCTGTCAAGGATTTGAATGATTTTCTCCCAAAGGAAATCTCATGTATATTAGGATTGCAAGGTACTTCAGCAGCAGCTACCTAACACTATGGTAGGTATTTGCATAAAAAGAAAGTAGATCATGGAATGGAAATCACAGCTATTTCAGAAAGCTCCAGATACCAGACTGCTGGAACTTGTTCTGCATTTTGGTTGTTCTCCGTGAAGAGCAGAGCAGCTCTGATAGTTAGGCTTCTTTCACTAACTTTCGCTTTTCCAACTTCAAAAAATCATGAGAGTTTGCATTATATGCTTACCATAGAAGGTCTTAAAATAGAAGAATTATAAATAGTAAAATTAAACTCAGCTACAACCTCCCTTTCCACATTACAGAGAGAAGTGTCACTGATGCCATTAATGGATATCCTTTGTTTTCCTATGTGTAGAAAGAAGTCAATACAGAATTGGGTCAGACCAGATGAATGCTTGTGTAGTTTGCTTTTCCTTGTGTCATTGGGCTTCAAAATCAAGGTTTTGATTTTGAAATTGCCATACATCCCGTTGCAGAGATTTATCTTTGTTTCTTTAGCTATCGCCCTACCTGAGATCTTGATCGTTACTTTTGATATTCGCCTCGTTTTTCCTGTTCCTATTATTTACCAGAAGACAAGAGCAGTCATCAACCTGCTGAGTTCTATAGACCAATCTTCCTGCCTGATGCTGGACATGGTATTGATAGTTCCCCAGGGCCACATGGTAACTACCCATGCTGTGAGCTCCTCCCCTCCCGACTCAGCTCTTCAGTGTGTGTACCCACCTCTTCCCATTGGTGATGATCTCATTTCCCTTCCTTCAGCCTAAGCCATGCTCCTCAAAACCTCTCAAGTTTATCTCACCGTCCTCAAAATGCATTTGTATGGGGGACTCTTCACCTCAGTAGCTGACTTAGGTTGGGTGCTCTTGTGTGTGCCCTGCTGAGAGTACAGCACAGCACATTTCACCCTCAGGACAGCACCAGGGGAAAAATGCCATGGTCATCCCCATTTTACAGAAAAGAAAGTGGCTTCTGAGTAATTTTCTCAGTTTCTCACAGCTGGTAAGAGGCCAGGCTGGGCCTCAAGCCCAGAGAGATTTAGTTCTAAACCATTTCCCCCCAATATTGTATCTGAAATCCATATTTATTCAGATTTTCTTAATTTTTAACTAATGTCCCCTTTCTGTTCCAAGATGACACCCAGGGTCAAAGGTTACATTTGATTATTCTCTCTCATTAGGCTCCTCTGGACTATAGGTTTCTCAGACTTATTTTCTCTATATATATGCATATGTGTATATATCATGCATTCATCTCTTGTTATCTACAACACCATGACAACCATGAACATTGTGTATTTCTCTGTGTGGCTATGATCCTCATGGAAACTCCCCATGGTAAATGTTATAATCCTCACTTTATAGATAAGAAAACTGAAGCTCAGAAATGAGAATGAGTGGTTCAGCTAGCAGATGGTGGATCCTGACCCAGGACTATGTGACTATGAAGGTCATGTTCTTTTCATGACTCATTCAGATGGCCTATGCATGTGCGCTTTTCAAAAACAGTTCAAGTACTAATATCAGAGTCAGAGTGCTATAAAGAGGATATATTTCTGGTCCACCCCTCTTAACCAATATGGAAGCTTCTTTTATAGATCCTCCAACAAAGGGGTCTCAACATATACTCAAAGTCCATCTGTTGTTTTTTTTTTTTTTTTGGGGGGGGGGGGTGGCATTCAGCCAGGGGTATTGTACCACTGAACCAAATCCCCAGCCCTTTCTGTTTTTTATTTTGAGACAGGGTCTCAAAAGTTGCTGAGGCTGGCCTTGAACTGGCTGAGCTTCTGCTTCAGCTATCCAAGTCACTGGGATCACAGACATACTCAGAAACCATCCAAATTCTGGACATTTCCCATCATTGGAAATCTCTGTGTTCCTTCTAATGATTTTGGCTTTTGGTTTTCAAAGGCCGGAGTGGACGCTTATTCGAGAAGAGGGTGGCCAACATGGCTGCGCTGGCTCTTCCTGGTAGAGAGAGCTCAGTTTGTCTTCCCTCCAGCATCCTAATGACACCCCTTTGAGCCGCAGGGACAGGCAGAATCTCCATGTACCTGGAAGTCCTTATATGGCGTGGAGCACAGCAGTGTGCGTGTGTGTGTGTGTGTGTGTGTGTGTGCGTGTGCGTGTGCTACACGGTCAGGGCTCAGTAACTGCTGTCCACTGGCTTCTTGTGAACAGCAGCCTGTACCGCCATCGCCGCTGCCCTCCCCGCGCCGCAGCGTGTGTCCGAGTCATCAGGTCTACAGGGGTCCGACACTGACATCTCCCCCAACGCTGTAGACAGGGCAGCTCTCTCCAGAAAACCTCTTGAGACACAAGTTTGAAAGGTGAGTCAAGCGGAAGGGGGAGTTTTCTCTGAGTTTGACGAACAAGCTAAAGGGCAAGGCAGTGAGCCGTGGCCGGGTGACAGCGCTCCTCCCCGCGTCCCCAGCAGACAGCGGGGGCTCCGCCCGCGGGGCGGGGGCGGGCGGGGCGGCGGTCCAGGCCAGGACTCCCCGACGCCAGGGCCACCAGCGCCACCAGCGCCTCCCAGCTGAAGCCCGCCCACCGGCAGGTGCCCCAGCCGAGCACCAGCGGCAGGCGAAGGCTCAGCGCAGACGTGCGGGAGTCCTCCCCGAGGCGTGCGGTGCTGGTGCCCGGCCGCGCGCTCACCACCATGGACAGCGCCCGCGAACCGGCCCCGGGGCGCTGGGACGCCGCGGGCTTCTGGCAGGTCTGGCAGCGCTTCGACGCGGAAGGTGAGTGCAAGCCCCAGCCGGGGACCGGGTCTCCGCGCAGGAAAAGCCTCCACCTGCGGCGTGGACCCGCGTGCCCGTGCTACACACTCGGAAACCTCGTGAAACCGGGTGGCGGGAGGGATCTGCCCCCTTCCCAGCCTGGGCGAGTCAGGGTTCGCCGTTGGTGCGTGCAACGACGAAAGTCTTTACAAGTAGCCCGGGATGGTGCGCTGAGGCGCAACCCCCAGAAGCCAGCCCTCTCTGTGCAGTCCTGGGGGTACAACTACCTCTTCCGCTCCGCGCACGCACTCTCTTTATCAACCTTCAAATGTACTACATCTCTACCAAAAAACAAAGGCAAAAAACTTTCTTGAGGACCGATCACTTTGGTTTTACTAATAATTAAAGAAACATAAAACACCTACAATGTGTGTTGAAACCTGCAAACTAGGATTCTATATTTACCTCTGTTAACTATTTCCAATCTTTCAAAATAATTGGATTTTATTCTAAAACTCGTGTTTATGCATTAAAATTCATGTATTTAAGAGCTTTTGTTCTTCAAATCCTAATGTAAATCTTAGCATAAAGCATTTACTCAGTAGCATGTATTCTTTGTCCACATCTGTGTCTTCTGGAGGTCCATGTTGGTACTTAATTATTGGGATGACAAAAAAAAATATGTCTATGGGGATTTTACACATCGTGAGATTAAAAGCAGATTTAGATAAATTCTAAATGCCATATGTTTTTCTATATGACTATTATTATTTATGCTTATCTCCATACATTTAGAAAAAGGCTACATAGAAGAGAAGGAGCTCGATGCTTTCTTTCACCATATGTTGAGGAAATTGGGCACAGATGTAAGTACTTCCAGCCCTGAGCATCAATCTATGTGTCTCTTAGTGAAATACAAGCATCCAAGTCTTGTGCTGATTTGTACCCATTAATCCCATCTGACCTCTTTTCTTCCGTGCATGCGTGTAATTTTTCTCCCTCTCCTAGCAACACAAGGGGATTTAGGCAGGTTTTATAAAAGATGCGACTCTTAACTTTCAACATGCTGGTCACTGACTGATTGCAACATCTGTCATGCACTCAGAGGTCCTAACTGTAGTCAACTCTGTTTCACGCGTTTCCTTGTTTATACCTCTGCTAATGGATTTAAAGCTGGAGATAGGGTGGTTTGCTTTGTTCACAAGATCAAAGGTGGAAAAGATGTTAAGAGCTTTATCGTTCTGGGTGTTTAGTGCATATGGCACTCCTTTGGTAGCAAATGGCAAATCATCTAAAATCATTTTCCATCATTCATTTTATTAGAAGAGGGAATGACAAACTAGAGAGAAGCCAGACAGAAACGTAATCCCATTTATGTGGCATTCAGGTCCCAGATGGTAAATCTGAACTTGAGAGATGTAGATTGGCTCTTGGAGATTCCTGCCCAAAGCAGAGGTGAGCTCTCACAGAGGCGCAGAGCTGGGCTGGTCTGGGTGGGTCTGGTCAGGAGAGGGCTCCCTTAGGGAATGCGTGCCAGGAGGAGGAGCATCAGGACAGCTGCACGGAAGTGGGGTACAGAGAGAGCTCACCTGACTTTGGGAACACTGGGGTGCGTCTCATTCTCCCATCTGAACCCGGAGCAGGGATCCGGGAGCTTTGCCCCACGGAGGAGCAGCTGGTGGGTGTGGGGGCTGAGACAGGTCAGAAAAGAGGAGGCTGCCTTCTCCCTCCACCAGCCGACCCGGCCTCCCTGTTGTCTGCCTCCCATTCTGTTCCTCTTTGTCTCTCTCACCAGTTTCCTGGCCCTCATCTCCCAATGTCTCTTGCCTTCCTCCTTGACCCCTCTGACTCTCATCTGTCACCTGCTCATCACCTGTTTCCCTGGCTCTCTGTGTCTGTTTCCTCTTTCTTTCTCCAGCCGGTCTGTTTCTCAAAGGTCTCTCTTGGTCCCTCCTGCCCTTGTCTTTCATTTCTCCATCCCCCCTCTTTCCTCTCTATCTCATCTCTCCTTTTTTGGTCCTTCATTTCTTATCTCTTCCCAGTCTTCTGCTTTCGTCTCCAATGGCTCTCTCTCCATATCACCCTTTGTCTCCCCCACCCCCAAGCTCTGGGTGCCTAGGGGGTGAAAGGGGTGGCAGGTGGCAGGAATCTGAGCCCCTTCTTTGCTCTGGTGAGACCTTTAGCACACACTGTTCTTTACCCTTCGTGACTATGTTTGCACCAGCCCCGAGCAGAGCTGGTGAAAACTCACTCAGTTTCAATTTTGCTGTCCAGTTTCATGTGTCAGCAGCTGGTGGGAAGCCCCCTCAGCCTTACTGCTGGGCTCCCACTTTGGCCTGTGAATGCTAAGGGTCAGGGTGGTCCAGGAACCAGAGGCCTTGTGACAACAGGTGTATTTGTGGAAAACCCAAAGGTGCATGTAAAGCTGTTAACATCTTCAGTGTTCAACTCCTAAACTTCAAAATAGTGTGGTCAATGCCTAAAACTCTCAATCTCCAGAGGCTGCAACTCCACAGGTTTCAGCAGGCTCTTGGCTTTAGTGATTTATAGGAAAGGAGAAACGTCATAGTCAGTGTTGAAACTGGACATGTCTTACTTTCGGTGATGGAGTGGTGGCTACTCACACACGAGATCTGCTCTAGCTGAAGACTCTCCTTCTGAGGACTCAGCTAACCTAGGGGGAACTGTTTGCCATTAGAGAGAGAGAAGGGGAACATCATCTCTGCGGCTTGTCTGCTTCATCTCCAGCCCCTCCTCAGATCTGGCCTGTTTTCTCTTGTGCGGGAGCCATCCTGAACCTTGAGGAAACAAGTCACGAATGAGTCACTGTTGTCCTGCGCAGCTATGCTCAGTGCAGGCATCTCTGTGTCTAGTAAAGAAATTTCAAGGTCTCAAGCACTTATTAAAATGTGAACCCCTACGTGTTTCAGTATATTTAGTGCCTGCAAAGAATCTTGCCTGGTAAAATCATGCTACGTCATTTGCATTACCTCTTACCCTCTGTCCCTGCAGGAATGGTGATACTTATGGGCAGGGGATTCTGCCGTGATCAGGCTAATTCCACTGAGCTGGGGCAGCTGTCCCAACACTGCTCCTCAGCCCTGGGCTAGAGAGGTGGCGTCGATGACTTGTTTATTAACTAGAAATGGCAGCGTTTGCCACTGGCGCCCTTTCAAAATGCTGAGGCAGTGCCTGGTGGGGGCGCGGTGCAGGGACCTTCACTGGGCACCCCATGCTACCTCGACAAAGTGACTGGAGCTTGTCCCTGATGCGCGAGGAGTAAGCTCAGTAGAGAGGGACAGTCCTGCTGTGCTCTTTCCTTAGCACAGAGACCAGACCGCAGAGAGGCCGCCAAGGCCAGGCAGCCTGGGCTCTGAAAAGCAGGCGTGGCTGGTGGCTCTTCAGAGGTCCCAATAGCAGGAGCTTCCCCCAGAGACCTCAGAAGAAGGATAAAGGGCTCGACAGAAAGCTGCTGCCTGGTCTCTGAGTGGCCAGGGAGGAACCTCCTGCTGCCAGCAGCTGCTCTTTTTTCTTTGCAGACGTGTCCTCTGAATGGGGACTTCCAGCCAGTCCCTTGCTGGCCTCAGCTTCCTGCGCACACCTCCCTTGTGTTCACATCCTGGGCCTCTGAGAAGCTTAGATTGTGAGTGTCCTGCTGGGCCCAGGGTCTAGACAGGACTGAGGGGGAGTCACAGCACAGCAAACCCTGGCTTCTGGCGTTAGCCCTGAGGGAGGCTTTGGGTCGGAGGTCTGAAAGGTCAGGATAAGGCTCAGTGCTCTCAAGCCAAAGCTGGCCCATTAGTAGAACCTGGTCACTGCTTCTTTGGCTCCACATTTATTTGCTTTGAAATCTAATGGTTCACCAATGTGGCCTCTGTGAGTTCACTTCCCTTGGGAGTGCCCAGCCCACCATAAAGAATAATAATGTATCGATCAACAGACACTATGATCCAGAGGTCCGGAGATGGCGGTCCCAGCAGAGTTCTTCATCTAAAAGGTCAAGCTGAAATTCAAAGTGTTTCGCACCCTGCTGAGCGATTTCCCTGGTGCTCTGCCTACGTGGGTCTGCACGTTGTGTTAAGCCAGGGCTCTGCAGAAAGACAGAACCAGTAGGATATGCATCGAGACCTTGAGAGGTGATAGACCAGAACTCAGCTCATGTGACTGTGGTGGCTGAGAAGTCTCACGACAGGCTGTCTGCAGGCTGGAGACCTGGGGTGCTGGTAGCCCAGCTCAGTCCAAGTCCTGAAGCCTCAAGGTCAGGGAGGCCAATGCTGCAACTCTCAGCTGGAGGCCGGAGTGGAAGAACCCAGTGGAGGGGCTGCAGGTGTGAGTCCTGGATCCAGGGTCCAGAGAGCCTGCATTTGTGATGTCCAGGGCAGGAGAGGAGCATGTCCTGGACTTTGAGCAGGGACAGCAGTTTGTTTTCTCTTTGCTCTCTGACTCCAGCCGTTTGCACAGCGCCCCTTCACACTAAGGGCAGATCTTCCCCACTCAGTGCACTCAGACTGCATGCTGACCTCCTGGGGTGACACCCTCACAGACATACCCCAAATAATGCTCTTCCGGCTTTCTAGGTAATTATTTATTTTTTAATGAGGTAACTTTTGTATATAGCTTTATTTTATTCATTTATTTTTTACATGATGCTGAGAATTGAACCCAGGGTCTCTACATGTTAGGCAAGTGCTCTACCACTGAGCTACAGCCCCCGCCCTCTAGGTGCTTTATAATCTGATCAAGTTGATCCCTAACAGGGAACAACATCACAGCACTCAAACACACAATGGTGGTGCTGAGACTGGACAGGCTAGTCGAGGCTCTGAGTGACATCACATGGGGAAACCTGGTCGACAGGAGATCTTGCAATCGCAGGAGACCTGTTCACCTTCTACAGGGCAAAGTGTAGCTCCTTGCCTCCAGAGCTGCACTTCAGAGAAGCCCTGTGGTGGGGAGATGATTGTGGTGGACACAGAAATCCTGTGTGGGCATCCTGGCTCTGCAACCACAGCCGTGTGACGTGACATCAATATGCCATTTAAGTTCCCTGGGCCTCAGTTTTTTTGTCCATAAAGTGGGAATAACCATGTTTGGACCTGCCTGTCTCACGGTGAGACACCACAAGTGAGAAGAGCTTTTTAGTTGGGGAAGTGCCTGCTGTCCTCATGTTCTTACGGTGACGTAGTCTCTTCTGGCTCCTTTGTTTTCCCAGTATTTATTCTGGATCCTCTTTGCTTTAGAACCACCACCAAATTACGCCACACAAGATGATTGGCATTTACTCTCTAAACCACTAAAATGCTTTTAATATCCAAAATAAACACATCTGTCCCTGGGACTCCCGTTTGTGAGAGCAAGTTCCAAGCCAAGCCAGATGATCCTGAAGTCCCACCTGCCACCACCCTACTCCAGGGAGGTGGTGACCACCGTGAGTCACCTCAGGGCCACCACACTCACTTGGGCTTAGATGACTGATCCCGGTGGTATTTCCCCCTTCCTCACCCAAGATGTTGTAATGTCTTTTTTTCCCCTCTGTATGTTTTGTTTGGTGGGTGTTCACTTAAGAAAGTGTTCCTTTCTAAAAACCAGGTCCCTGTTCATAATCATCAAGCAAACACATTTGGTTGATGTACTTACAAAGTCAATCTGTCCAAGACCTCTGATTTTAATCATTTGGGGGTTTCTAAATACAAAACCAAAGCCATTAATCTAGCAGATGGCCCCGGTGTGATGGAACACAATCCATTTGATGAATGCATTATCTCTGTCACAAATGCGCGTGCTTTGGGTTTACCTTTTTTTCTTAATTAAAAATAGCTTTGCCTGTAGATGCCATCTTGAGTTCTTGTTAACAAAAGTTCTAACTTTGTACAAAGGAACTCCCCTTCACTGCAATGTGCTCTGAGCCCCCTCCAGCAAAAGGTGACAAGGGAAAAAAAAAGGTGCAGTTTCACTTTATACATGCTGACGAAGTTCGTGAGTGGTCAGATGGGGAGACACGCTGTAGTTTGGCATGAATCTACCTGGCGCTCACGTCAGCCTTCAGAGTGCAAAAACTAAAATGATATCAGGGATCCAGCGGCTCAACTCACCTCAGCTCAGAGCCTTTTTCTCTCCTCACCGTGATGAACCACCGCCAAGCATCTGCTGTGCGCCCACCTCCTGTGTTGGGGACCACAGCCCTGCAATGACCTTCTGGTCTTCCCCAGCACAGAGTCACTTCTCCTGAGCATGGTGCCACCTGGCTTTTCAAGAACTAGACTTCAAATTTCAGGGTCTTATGATATTTAAAGCATCCTGTAATTTAGCTAATTGCTGAAACCCATCCTGAAAAATTCCCAAAGTGAGTCAAGTTCTCACCTTTTGTTTGAACTGTTTCCTGTTTATAAACCACTTCTTGCCTCTTGCCGGGCTCCCTGTGGATGCTACTGCCTCCCATGGGGCAGGAGCCACGTGTGGGGCAGAGGGCCCTGGGCCAGGGAGTGGAAGTGCTGGTCCCTGTGGTGTTCTGTCCACCTGTGGGGAAAGTCATCCTTTTGGCCTCTTTCATCAGTAACACGAGAGGGCGGAGTCTCAGACCCTCAAGAGGAGAGCCTGAGGCTTTTTCTCCTGGACTCTTTTGCATTGAGGCTGGTCCGAAGGAAGCATGTGGCTGAGGGCAGCCACAGGTGCTGGGGACATGAAAGGGGCCTCTTTCCATGTCTCAGGCTCTGGAAGGCAGAGGTGGTCCGCTAGACCAGGAGATGCCACCTGTGGAGGGAAGAGGCTGGCTCTGTCCTTCTCTACCACCCTTTCTCCCCCGTGGCCTCCCATTGTGGAAGTCCCTCAGGGGGAGGTCCCAGTGGAAAGGGAGGCGGGACAAAGAGTCTTCCACAGCCTGTGCCCCAGGGCAGCCCAGGCTGTTTTGCTCACCACCAGGGGCTGGCGCTGGCTTGGCATGGGGAAGCTGCTCAGTAGAAAGCGGCTGTCCTGGGTTCCCCGGGTGGTGCTGGGAGGCGCAGGAAGGGAGCCCCAGGGGCCCGGGGTGTTCCAGTGAGTGCTTCATCTCAGCACCAGCTCTCCCTGCGCTTCCTACTGTTATTCTGAGAGCAGCAGAGGAAGGCCTGGGCAGGTTCAAGGCCACCGGCGCACTTTCCTGCACACATGTGCATAGATGACACATCCAAAGTCTCCCGCAGCTCCGAGTCCCCTGGTCCCCAACACCAGCGGGGATGGTGGTCAGTGGACATCAGCTCCTCCCAGTCCTGTCACTCACAGCTGGAGACTTTGGGACCAGGACTAGAGTGAGCATATTAAGAAATAAGACATTATTAAGTACAAGTTGCAGTGAGGATGGAATCTTTGAATTGGGCGACATCGGAGACGCTCTGTGCCCTCCGTTTGACATCAGAGTTCATTCTTCATAGTTCATGTTCCCTGCAGCACCCCCGAAATCCACCCAAGAAGGTACCTGCATCTGTAGGGAAGGCTGTGGGTAAGAGATAACCTCTTTGGTGAGCCAACGATCATTTCCTTTGGTTTAGTCTTTGATTATTTCCCTATTATAATGATGCTTTTCTCAGTGGGTACAAGGAGAAGATCAAGAGAATACCCTGCAGCAGCCAGGGCGCTCCCCAAACTGAATTGTTTAGTTAAAAATGGAAAGCCTCTGAGTTCTTGGGAAAAACACTTATATATTAATTGCAGTGCCATTGTTTCTCACAGCTGAGTTTATAATGATATTCCAGTTCACTCTTGAAGCACTTTAGTTTCTCATCTTCTTTCCTCTGTACTTTAGTGACTCACTGACTGTAAACTTCACCTGGTCAGACGGTGGTAGGTGCTGGGTTGCTGAAGTCCCCTGCACTGTGCTGTGCCACACAACGAGAGAGTCTTTCTAAAAGGCTGGGGAATCTGCTCCTCCGTGGCACCGGGACCAGGCTGTGCCCTCCGTGCTTGCTCTTGCACTAACGTGGGTGTGTGTGGCCATTGCAGGAGGCCGTCTTGGAGGAAGACACGCGCAGGCTGAAACAGCGATTGGTGACCACGCCTGAGGCCCCTACCCGCGTGCAGATGAAAGAGGTACCTGTCGCCGCTGTGCCTTTCTGGGTTGTGCCTTTCTTGACTTGTCCTTCTTGGGCTGTGATTTCCCGTGAAAGACAACGGGAATCTGACATCCATTCGACTGGGAAATGCGAGCCTTCTGCAGGGCAGTTGGCCTAGATACCGTTTTTGAAGCAGTCGCCTCTCCTTTTTCATCTGCTCAATTGCCTAGTAATGAAGAGTGTGCAGGGCTTTCTTGGTTTTATGAGGGTTGATCAATATACCTGTCTTATCATCGGGGAATTGAGGTGGCGGATGTCTTTTGGTTACTCGACCCAACATTGTCTTTTCACAGGTGTCTTGCTCAAATTGAACTCGTATAAGGAAAAAACTTACTGACAATAAATGAATGAATAAAGTTTAAACAAACTTTAGCATCAATGCCAGTGGAGGTTGGAAAGATCTGTCTCTGATGATCATTAAAACAAAACAGAACAGAAAATAGCTTTCTTTACTGACAGCATATGTTCTGAGAAATGCTTTGTAAGGCCTCCCCCCACCCCCGCCCCAAACACAAACCAGGCAGTATAAGTCAATCATTCCATCTGGCTTCTTGGTACTATTAAGAGACTCTCAGTAAACAAAACATGTAGCAGGCTGACAATATAACATGGCTGACTGCGTTACAGTCAATATCATCGAAAAAAATAAAAGGGAAATTTCCTTAGGGAATCATGGTACTAGAGCAGGATAATGTCTCTATGAAAAGTGAACGGAGGCTGCCTTTTCAGAAAATTAATAAGCTAAACCCTAGATTTATGAGGGTTGCTGTTTCCAACATTGTTTTGTACTCAAGGGCAAGTTTCACGTGTAACCTACGATTCACATCAGAATCGACATGAAAATATCAGTATGTCAGAAGTAAATGCAACACGAAGCTCGATGCACAGAACTTGTGCTCGTGACCGCAGGGTTCTTGATGCGTTCTCAGCCCTGGAGCAGACACAGCACACAGTGGTGTTCCATTAGTTGTTGATGTCCCCCATGGACGTGAAACATGGCAAATAGCTCAGAAGTGGCTGTTTTCCCACTAGTACCAGGTGGACCCTCCTGAGCAACAGGCTGCCATGTGGTTAGAGTCCTGCCCGTGAGTGTGACCGTGGTGGCTGTTTGTAGGGAAGTTGGTAGTGTAGGTCCGGGTCCTTCCCAAGGTTCCTTAAGGCCTCGTGGCTCTGCAAGTCTCTGGCAGCAAGGTCTCTACTTCCCCCGTATTCTCCTTGCTACCAGTGACGTTTCACTTACCCCAATTGCATGCAGTCGTGACATAGAGTCAGTCATGCTGACACAGTTTAGATGGTCGAGTGAAAAGTAAGGCGGAGAAGAGCTCATGACCAAGAGGCGAAGTAGGGCTTGTGGACACCTGTGTGTTTGACGTGCCCAGGACACCTCCGTGCCACTCCAGCTAAAAGTGGAGGTACAGAGGGGTCGTAAAGGCCCGGCGTGAGTGAACTATGTCTAACTGGGTTTCTTGGCTTCAGCCCCTCCCTATGTGAAAAGCACTGCTTAGTCCTGAAGAGCCATTCCTGGTCCCAGCTGACCATGTGGGTTGGAGGGTCGGACACAGAGTCATCGTGGGGGATATGTAACCATGGGCAGGTCACTTCACGTCTCTGAGGCTGAATCCCATTACCATGTGATAAGTGCTACCATCGCAGTTACCACTTATGACGGCTGAATAAACACCAGGTACTTTGCTACAGCAGTTCACGAATATGGGCTCATTTTATTTTCAGTTTCCACATAAGCATCAGATGCCAATATTATTGTTCCCATTTTATAAATGAGAAAATTGGCCATAGAGATGTCAATTAAATTGTCCAGGATCAAACTATTGGTAAGTAATAAGGAGAAATTTGGTGCTAGTCCAGCCTGTCACAGTAAAAAAGGGGGTATTTATTCTTCCTGAAGGGTTGACGTGAGAGTTTAATGAGATAATAAATGAAAAGCACCTTATCCGTGCCGGCCATGCGGTAGGCACCCAGCACCCAGTATGTGATAACAGTTATTAAAATGGTGTACTCTTGAGCTGATTCGAATCCAAACGAGCGTGTGAACCAGTCTGGCCTAGAGCCCACCCACCTCACGTGTGCTGGACTTGCTCTGTGGCGTTATACCAGATGCTGAGACAACTATCAGTTACGAAAAGCAATCATTGTTTATGGGCTGACCCAGAAGCAAGATGGCTTACACAGTAGTCCCCTAGGTGCAATGAACCCTGTCAAACGCCTAGGTGTGAGGCAGAATTATGACCCTATAGGGGAACAAGATGTCACCTTTGTTTGGAATAAATGAAGAGTGAAGTACATCAATTGCTTACATAGGAAGCTTGTTGGTTGGATTTATCACACTTCAGCCAACTCTTGTAGCATCATATAAACTCTAATGATGTGAAAGAGCATAGACCACAGTCGGTACTCAAGAACCCCCCAGCCAGCAGTCATTCCTGCTCTGCACACGGCACTGAGATTCTTTGCACGGTCAGCATCCCACCAGCAAAGCTTCATGGTTGCGCACGGGGTGGGGGTGGGGGGGGGCTTGAAATTCCTGACTTGAAGACTCCACTCCCCACTTACTCACTGCATGACTTTGATGAATTCTTTATCTCCATGTGGCCTAGTTTCTATAATTTGAAAGAAATAGCAGTGGTGTATGTGTATCTCAAAGAAGGTGGTTTGGATTAAATGAGCACTTAGGACAGTACCTGTAAGCCCAGGTAAGCATTATTCACTATTCACTATTCCTATTTTCTATCATTGATTATTTAATATGGGAGGTTCTTAGAATAGTAACTGGAACATACTGAATGCTGAACAAGTTTATTATTATCATCATTATTTTGTATTTTTAGCTCATGGGAAACAGTTATCCACAGTGTTTCCCACCTAGTAGGAGAATGATAATTATTGAAAGAACCCATAATCCATGCAGGGTTATCAAGGGCAGGGGAACTCCATTCTGGGAGAGCTGAGCCCTTCTGCCCTGTGGCCTGCGTCCACAAGCACTCCCTGATGGACCCGGGGAAGTGTCCCTGATTGCTGCTCCTCTGTCCCCTTAGCTTGCCAGTATGTTCTTGTCTGAGGATGAAAAGTTTCTTCTGTTCTTTCGCCTGGAAACCCCCCTGGACAGCAGCGTGGAGTTTATGCAGGTGAGTGGCCTGACATGGGGAGGGGGGTGTGGCTGCCCCCTCTCCTGCCTGTCCTGAGGGACAGTTGTGCGCAGAGGACAGAGCGGGCACTATTTTTTACCTTTATATAAAATCGAGCAAGCACATACACAGGCTGTTCACAGAAGAAATCTGAGTGGACCATAAATATATCCAATAACCCAAGGAATGTGAATAAAATAACTTAATTTTTCACAATCAAAGTGGTCAAGATTTTAAGAAGATCTATAAAAATATGCAGTGCCACTAAAAAACAAACAAACAAAAAAAACCCAAACCCTGAGATTGTTCACTGATGCTCTGTGGCAGGTGTGTATTGTAGAAGAGTTTTATGGAAAGTAATTTTGCAAAAATTAAATCAGGAAACTTTAAAACTTCATGATTCAGAATTACTTAAAAACATTTACATACTGACTTTATAATTCTACTTCTCCAGGTATGTATTTTATGGATGTAATCGAAAATGTAGAAAAAAATTTTCTTTAGAACGTTGTCCATTAAATGCTGTGCTGTTACTTAAGAGTTAAAACTGAAGGGGTTGGGGCTGGGGCTCAGTGGTAGAGCGCTTGCCTGGCATGCATAAGGCTGTGGGTTCAATCCCCAGAATTGGGAGAAAAAAGAACCTAACCAACTCTGAATGAAGGAAGAATAAAGGAAATGATGACACCTCGTATGATTCCTTCCTTCCACAGTGCTTCTGAGTACTGGCCAGGGTCCTTCTAGAGGCTACATCTTCTTAGGGAAAGTCCCACTACTGGGCAGCATGCGTCATTGAATCGCCAAGGGTCATGTTTCCAAGAATATTTGATGACATGCCGGATGTGCAATGTAATGTTAAGAAACAGACTTGTACATAGAGTATGATCTTAATTTATTTTTTTAAAAAAAACAACACTGTTTTCCCTAACACCTGCATAGATGAATACTGATGAATTATGGTTATTTGTGAATGGTAGGATTTCAGGACATTTTCATAGTCTTTGTGTTTTCTAGTTCTGTATAAAATCATTTACAAGTTACTTTCAAGACATTTCCAAAATGATTTTAATTATGTTTAAAAATGCTCACAGGAAGTTTTAAATAAAATTTATAAATCAACCAAGTGTGTAGATAATGTGACCAGCAATTCAGTTTTGTTTTATATGTAATAGAAACAGAATGGAAAGGAACACTAAGTAATCATCTCTGGGGTAGGGATTTCTGGATAGTATAGTTGTTTTTTTTTATATCTTTAATTTTGAATGATGAACATCATTTATTTCTAAAATCAGAAAAAAAGTATTAGCGTGTTAGGACTTTTTCAGAATAACCTTGAGAAATGGGAAAAGGAAACAGAACTAAGGAGCTGTCTTATCTTTTTAAGAATATATCTATTCTATTTTTCCTTCCCTCTACTTGGTCAGTTTGTTCTATGAGGAAGAACGTTCAGGGCCCTGTGCAGGCGAGGCAAGCACTCTACCAACTGAGCTATGTCCCCGGCCCTTGAATTACTTTTTAATTAAATTGATTGCAGCCCATTATATCCTATGTATTTTAGGAAACCCCAGTGTCCACTGTTCCCCTGAACCACAGGCCCTTAGCTCTAACACACACTCACTAGCTCAAGTGCCTTTTCTGCACAGGGCATTATTTCTGCCTAATTTTCTATATGCCATGGATTTTATGCAGCTGAGATCCTTTTCCGTTTGCCTACATTATCTCTGCTTACGGTTGCTTAGACTTCCTTCTTTGTGTTTCTCCTTGTTCCAGGAGTTTTTCCTAAGGGTTTGTTGGTAATAAACTGTTTTTGTTTGTCTGGATCTCTCTTTACTTGGCCTTCTTCCTTTAGAGAGAGGCTTGCTGAGATTCACAGAAGGCTCTCTGGCCCCCATGGCTCAGCTGTAGTAAGACCATGCCTTCATGGAGCTGGAGAATGCGTGGAGAAAAACACTTAAAGAGTCTGTAAAAATGGTTGGTGGAGTTATGTGAAATTCTCATAGTTTGGGTATGTTCATCCAAAAATATGATAGAAATCACACTCACCTCATTGATTTTAGAAGTCTGGCTGATTCAGACACAAATGACAGGGGCTAGAAGAAGTGGCTTTCTGAGCAGTTCTCACTAAATGTCCGCCTGGAGTCACCCGCTCACTCTGTTGGTGGGGTCTGAGGTTGGGTCCTAATTGTGTGCAGGATGGAGGTCCCTGCCGGGGGAACCACAGACCACCCATTTAGGATGAAGGAGATCCTTGCTCCCTAAACAACTGCTCTGGGCTGCCTTGGTTTGTGTGGGAGCCAGGGCCTTGTCCCCGGGAGGCAGAGGTGGTTCAAGGAGCAGTATTCATGAGCAGGCGGCTCGTGGCTTTGATCAGATCTGCAGCTCTGTCTCCTAGCTCAGGACGCAGCTGTGGCCGCAAACCAGTGGGAGGGATGGCTTGCCCCTGGGAGTCACCGGAGGTAGCCTCCCCCTCCACCCGGAGCCACGGCCATGCAGGCGAGGTCACGGTGTCCCCGCAGTGTGTGTGAGCCCACCCTTTCACTGGGAGGTGTTGACGTTTGGCGTCTCAGCTTTGAGCAGATGACTCAATCTCATTTCCCACTTGTGTGGGTGCCAGGTTGTCACGTGTCCACCTCGAGGATAGTTGTCTGAAGGACCTGCAGCTCGTAGTCAGGGATGGCAGACCACGAGGCAGGCTGGCTTCAGCCCTGCACTACCTCTCTGGGTCGGCACTGCGCTGTCGTGTGGGTCTCTCAGGGGTCCAGAGTTGTTTCTGTAGCATCCTGCACAGCACAGCGAGGCTTTCTTCCTTGCCATATCACAGCGTTGAAATGCATCTCATCGTATCGTTTCATATGGAGCCTTCCCATGGGAGCATGCGACCCTTACAAGTGGCTTCAAGTGGACACAGTGTTCCACTTTGGCTGAGTTCTTCCCAATCACTGTCACCAAAGGAAGCCTGAAATTCCCTGTGAAAGTCTTACTTGCACCAGTTGGGACAGTTTTCAGATGCTGAGCCATGGGGGACACCAGTACAAGTCCATCCCTCAGCTTTTGAGGACAAATCGCTTAAAGACTTTTGTGTGTTTCAGATCTGGCGCAAATACGATGCCGACAGCAGTGGCTTCATATCAGCGGCTGAGCTTCACGTAAGTGTCCCTGGGGACAGTCGCGGTGGGAGGGGTCTTTGTCCTTGGCGATTTGATATGTGTGCATCATGAGTTTGATTTCCGTGATTCTAAGAAACATGGATTTGAATAGATTACTTAAAAAAAAAAGCATGCCTGTTTAGAAGACTCAGCAGGTGCGGGCTGTGATGCTCTCTTTAGCAAAGAGGTACACTTGAGCACTTTCGCTTTTTTTCATGCCTGGAGCTATTCTCTGGGTTCCCTGAGCTCCCTTCTAACAGTGACAGCCCTCCATGCTTGGACTTATTGCTTGTCAAAAACATCCTACCTCCTTCTTCAAACAAACACAGTCAATAAGGCCTCTACAGAGCTTTGCAGCTTATTTACTTATGACATACAGTGTCACTTTTCTCTGGTGTCACAGAACTTCCTCCGAGACCTCTTCCTGCACCACCACAAGGCTGTTTCCGAGGCTAAGTTGGAAGAGTACACGGGCACCATGGTGAGTGACAGAACTTCTCTCCCCAGTGCTCCTTCCCCCTGCGCCTCTTTTGAGACCAACTGCGTGCACCGGAAGGCCTCATCTCCCGAAAGCACTGGCCAAAGCGGAATCACTTTAGCTTTTCTCTTGGGAACAGGCCGTGTGCATGGGGGAGGCTGTTTGCTGTCTTTGGGGAGACGAGGGAAGTCCAGGCAACGTCAGGCTTCTCAGCACCAGGCCAACAGCCCAAGTGGTAACAAAAGCCACAGGGAAAAAGTCAACATGGACCTAGGTGATTAGGACAATCAGATGGGCATGCCTGCCCCTCGGGGACGGTTCTGCTCATCTGGTGTGTGGTTCCGTGTAGTGGGGGGTCAGAAAGAGGGGGATGTGTCTTCCTGCCACTTAGTGGCCACGACCTAGGACAAGTGTTAGCCTCCCAGCATCACTCAGGTCTGTAGTGACATGGATTTAACGGTGCCTAGACACCTTGAGGGCAGTGAGCTGCCGCACCTGAAGCACACTGTGGTATTTGCTGTCACCATGTCATACTTACAACATCCTTGTCCCAAATGACTCAGAGATGTCGTCAGCGTCGGGCTTCCTGAAAACATGGTGAGGTGTGAGGAGCTGCCCTGATGACTCGCTCTCCCATTCTGCCTGTTTCTACCTCCCTGCGTCTCTCCAGCCCTAGTCCACCATTTGTGCTGAATGGAATCTGGCTCCTCTGCCTGTGGCCTTCACCGTATCTCCCCCCCCCCCCCCCCGCCTCCCCGTGTGAGCTGCCTTTCATCAGATCTGCAGGTTTCTTCCTTAGAAAGCAAGTCATTTGCTGATGGAGGCTGAATCATGTGCTTGTGGGTGGTTCCACTCATTACCTTAGGAGTTCTGGAGCAGACCCACCTTGCTGAGCCGGGCGGGTAGTGGGAAGAGCCTCTGGTTCTGTTAAACATGCCCCCAGCTTGATCTATGCAGACCCTCAGTTGGCGTTTGCAACCACTGGAAGTTGGTTTAAGGTACGATAACCCAGGAAACTCAGTTACTCAGCCGAGGGCACCAGCTGAACTGGAAGCTGTCCCGATTTGCCTTTCTGGGCCCGTCCCTACCTCTCGCTCTGGACCCTCGCGGCTCTGAATGCTGACCCCGGTCAAGCGAGTCTCCGGGACCATGATAAGTTGTGATTGGCTTGGACAGGAAAAAAGGTGATGCCCAGGGGAGAATGACACCCCAGGGCAGGATCTCACTGAGGAGACCGACTGGCGACCTGCTCTGTTGGTTTGTTTAAACAGCTCACAAAACGACATCCAAAACCCTGTGTAAATATGTGCCCAGCACTTACGGGCGAGCGGGCAATCCCAGCTCAGGAAGCTGCGTCCCTGCTGCAGAGCTGGCTCCAGGTCTCTTTTGACTGAGCACCAGGGAAACCTTGTAATGGAGTAAAGAACATGCAAAAGGGCAATTAGGCTGAAACTGCTGGGGACAGAACAAGGAGGGTCTCTCTAGCTGAGCATGTTTTAAACATTGACTTAATGACAGAATGTCGGCGCTGGCTGTTATCTCAATTTTATTAACTTATACAACATGAAGGACATAATGAATATATTTGCATTTTGAATCTCCAGCATAAGTTCCTGGTATTTTTCTCCCATGAAGCCCAGGGGCTCGGAGGGCGTCTCCCACTCCACTACTTTCTGACTGCTTAGTCGAGCCTGGTTCATCTTTTCCCGACTTTTCTTCATCTGGCTCTTGTTAGTCCTTTGAGATGCAGTTGCATGCCGTTTTGCCTGAGAGCCTCACAGGACCTTCTCCCCTGGCGAATCCAGGGCTGCTCTTCTGTGCCCCCAGCACCATGGGTGCTTGCGGTCTTCATAACATAGTCACTCATCCAGTTCACTCTGTGAATATTTGTTAAGTTCTCATTAAGCCCCAGGCACTATTCTAGTCCCTGGTGATTCAGAGGTGACACCAGAGGCAGAGGGGAGGCTGCAGGACTCAGTAAATGCAATCAATAATGCATCCATTGCAGGAGCGGGTGGAGGGTGATGGAAAAGTGGAGCCAGGCCAGGGCTGCAGGTGCCCTGGGCGGCGGTGGGTGGGGAGAAGAGGCAGCTTCCTGTGGGCATCAGGGTGGCCCCCTGGGAAGGTGAGATGCCTGGAAGGACTGGGGTGCAGCGAGAGCAGCCCCTGGGCAAGAGTGTGCCTGGGTCTTGCCAACAGGGAGAACCCATGTGGCTGCCGCAGAGTGAGAAGGGGTCTGAACAGGGACCAGACGAGCCTGGATTTCTAGGCCATCACGGAGATCTGGGTTTAGACTGAATCAAAGGGGAGCCGCTAGAGGATTCAGCGGGGGCTGCCGTGTTGACGAGTTTGACACGGGCAAGGGTGGAATCAAGAAGAGCCCCGGGAGGCGCTGCCATCCGGGTGAGACCCTGGCAAGAGGACCGCCAGGTCGTGGTGGGCAAGAGCTGAGAACCGGATCTGTCACAAAGTGGAATCAATGAGATGTACGGATGAATGGGGGAGTTGAGTGTGACAGTGACGTATGTGTCTGGGTATTGTCCTATGTGAGCCAGCAGGCTTTGCTGTGACCAGAATACCCCACAAGAACAACTTAGAAGAGGTCTCAGTCCAGAGACAGCCGACTCCATGGCTCTCCGTCCACGTGTGGTGGCCCATCATGGGGAAAGGGCCCGGGCGAGGAAAGCTGCCGGCCCAGGGTGGGCCTATTAGCAAAATCCCTGACACTGCACCGAGAGGTGCTGCCCACACCAGGCAGGAGAGAGATTAGCCGTCTGGACAGGATATTATTAAATAATGTCTACTTTTATTAAACATAAGCAAGTACCTCTGGGAGAGATACTCACTTCCCAGATTAGAGCATGAAATAGTGTAAGGCAACACATTGAAATCCAGCACTTTGGCAGACAAAGAGAACTGCATGAGGTGGAGCTGGGCCCGGCAGCTGTGGCTCTTGTCGGTCAGGCCTGGGTGAGCCGCTGTCTCTTTCTTCCTTCCTTAGTTCTAGGTGTCCCCTCTCCGATCCATGCCAACCTGGGATGGGCCTGGGCTCAGTCCTGAGGTGGTTTACTTTTCTGGGTCCACCTTCTCTCTACTGGTGATCTCGATTAGTCTGTAGTTTTAAAGACTCGCTAAAGTCAATGACCTCAATCTCTTTCTCTGACTCAGACCACTCCTCTGAATTTCTTGGATGCAGCTGGAAATGTATCATCTTCAAAATTGAAAATACGACCTTCCTCACAAACCACGGGCTGTTTTTCTTCATCTTAGTTAGGGAGAATATGATCTTTCAAGTTGGTCAAGGCACAACTCTCAAAATCATCCTTGATGCCTCTTTTTCTCTTACTCCACATCTAATCGGCCAATCTTACTGGCTACTGTATGAGTTCCTTTTCTAATCAGCCATTTTCTGTAACTACAACAAAATACCTGAGGCTAGGGACTTAATTTTTGGTTGTTATGACAAAATACCTGAGAAAAATCAACTTAAAAGAGGAAAGATCTATTTTGGCTCACAGTTTCAGAGGTTTCAGTCCAAGGTCATCTGGTTCCTTTGCTTTGGGCGGAACCAGGGTGGGGAGCATGTGGCAGAAGAGGCTGCTCACCTCATGGCAGCCAAGGAGGAAGAGAGAGAGAGAGAGAGAGCAGGCCAGGGTCTGAGGACAAGGTACGTCTGCGAAAGCATGCCCCAGTGACCGACCCCTTCCCACCAGGCTCTGTCTCCTGAAGTCTCCACCAAGGGTGCCGCCACCTGCCACTGGCCCTTTGCACTCCCCGTATCTCCACCAGGATATTCCTAGCTCCAGGTATGCACGTGGCTTGCTCTTTCCCTCAAAGGAGCTTTCTATGACCACCGGCTCCAAGCTGACCCCCCCACCAGCTGCTGCTCCACAGACTACTCAATTTAACATAGGTAGAATAGTTATGTGGACTTTCATATGGAGTTTCATCACCGATTTGCCTGGTGCTGACCCTTTTCCCCTCTCCAGAAAATCCTCTCCATGAGAGCAGGAATCTTTGCTCCCTGAGCTGAACAGTGCCTGGCTCACAGTAGATGCTCAAAGTGTGGGTCCAATGAATGAAAGCACCGGTGAATGCGTATTTGTTGAATGAAGAAATGAGTGAATGGCAGATGCCGCCGACGTGCTTAGGAACCTGCCAGACTGCAAACTCCTCTTCTTGGCCCTCAGAGCCCTCTGTGCCTGGCCGTCGTCCCCCCACTTACCCGGCACCCTCCTCCCAGTCGGACTCTGCAGGCAGCCCTCTGCCTGCACCTCCAGCTGAGCTCTGCACTGTGTCCACCTGCACCGTCCTCCCTTCCTCCCCCTCCTCCCAGCCTGCTGGAAGCCCCCTCTCCTGCCTCCGTCCTCCCCAGGGCCAGGTGTTTGCTCCACCCCCTGCTCTCGGAGGCCACAGGGATAACGCCAGTGTTGTTGGTCACCCTGCATTTCAGACCTGCATTTTGTCTCTGCTCTCCGCTCCCAAGGGTGTGTGCCACTGTGGCAATTTCTGGGGATCTCTTGCAGTACCTGGCGTATCGTTAAACTGTTATTCTGCTGTAGGGACAGATGAGGCAGGGCACCAAAGACAGCCGGAAACCGTTTTATTTGGCTGCAGCCAGGCTCAGAGGGCACAGCTTTTGCTGTAATCAATCAATCCCCTGAACCCCGAGTTCAGGGAGTTTCAGAGTTTAAGGGGAGGGGCTCAGAAGTTCACCTAAAAGCAGCTTTTTCTTTCACTGTTGTGGGCAAGTTAACTCTTCAAGGACCACACCTGAGAAGGGGAGAGCTTCTCCTCCCCTTTCTTCCCTCCCCCTGCCAGCTGTTACCATGGAGCCCAATTGGTAACTTATCTTGAAAATGTAGACGTCTCTGTGAAGCCCAGCTCAAGGCCAGAGGCCTTGTTAAAGGATTTGTCGTTTTTATCACATTTGGCATTTGCAAACACTTCTACAAACTACTAGGCTGGATACATGTTTGTGAAAAACAAGCAAAGGGGCTTCCAGCACCTGAACTGCCGACTTTCCCCAGACGGCTGGCCAAGTAAAACAGAGCATCAGGAACATAGGGGGTTCACCCACGCTGAGCCCTTGTCGAGACTCTTTTGCTCAGAGTCTTAAAATCGATCATGGTGAAGATTTCTGGAGAAGCTTAGTTAGGATTTTTGGGGGAGGAGAGGGCTCCACTGTGATTCAGTAAATGATGGTAGACAGATAACAGAAGAAGGGGCTCTAAGTGCTCTTTGACACAGTAATATGGTAATTACCAGATAAAGATGTTGATCTCTTTTTAAGGTTAGGAAAAAAAAATTCTGTTAAGGACTGAAGTTTCAGTCTCTCTAGGAAAACTCAGGCCACTGAGCAGGAGGTAGCACCCATCGCCTTTCCCCCAGGACAGAGAGGCATTTAGAAAGCCAACGCCACGTCTCTGTATTAATCTATGGCATCAGATGTTTTATTTCATAACCGAACATGGAACAAAGCAAACTCATAATGAGACATTCAGACTCCCTGGTTTAACTGGAAGAGCTCTGGTGACAGACACATTGTGTTACCTTTCCGTCACTGTGACAAAACCCCTGGGGCAGTCACCTTATAAGGAGGAAAGGCCTGCTCTGGCTTGTGGTTTCAGAGGCTTCGGCCCTTGGTGGCTTGGCCTTGTGTTTGGGCCTGTGGTGGCAGGACATCATGGCAAGGGCACGTGGGTACAGCGGGCCACCCACCTCGTGGCAACCAGGAAGCCAAGAGAGAAAGGAAGAGACTGGTGTCCTGAGTCCCTTTGGCAGTTGCCCAGTCACCTAAGACCTTCCACTGGGCTCTACCTCTTGAAAGTCCCCCCACCTCTGCCAACATTATCACAGGCTGGAGACCAGGACTTTAGCACATGGCCCTCAAGGGGACACTTCCCAACCATGGATGAGCTTAGACTTGCATCTTGCCAATTTCTTAGCAAATTTAACCTTTCTCAACTTTGGTTTTTCTATTTGTGCCAGGCAGATATTTCTTACCTTGGAAGGATGTTGTGACCATGAAATGAAATGACATATAATGTATCAGAACTCAAATGGTCACTATTATTACAGCTCTAAAACTTAAGAGCTCTTATTATGTTCCAAACAAAGAGGCCAAATTCAAAATTCACCCGAACAGTGCAGAGTCCTGACGTTCCCCCTGGGTCTGGTTGTCCCCCTGTGGTGGGCTGGCCCCAGGCTCCCTTTATCACATGCTTCAACTCACAAGGTCAGGGCCTTGGAAACGGGAAGGACAGACCCCGGGTACGTGTACCATTCACCCCCATGTGCGCACAGGGTGAGAAGTTCAGAAGGTGGTTTTCAAAAGAACTCCGGTTCTTAAGTGGATCACGCGGCCCGCTCTCTGATGTTGAACCTCATTGACATGAACTTGGTGTCCGCTCTTCCTCAGTCCGATTTTAAGTGAAGGGGCTTTCCCCGTCTAGGTTAGCTCCCTGAGGAGTGGGGCCCTCGTCCTTACGAGTGAGCACGGGCTGAAAGCTCCCGCTGATCCAGCTCTCTGTTCAGATGGAGCCTCTCATAGTGACAATGACAGTGTTCACTCTGGCAAAGGGTGTCACTGCTGGACTTTACTGGGCATGGTGTTCAAGAGACACCCCTGGACATGTTCTATGTACAGATGTATAAAGATATCCCTGGGCCTTTAGTAGATTCTGTAATGTACATTTTGGTGCCCAAGTTTTGGGAGCCTGGGCTTTCCAATCAAATACCAAAACGCACTGGACTTGGAGCGGGAGGAAGGATTTTTTAATGGAAAATTCTGTTGGATGTGTTTGCAGATGACCTCGCTGTCTCTTTTTCCCTGTGCCTCCTCGTACTGTTGTGTTTGGAGACTTTCTGTGGCTTTAAAATGTTGTGAAGTCAGAAAATTCACTCACATTTCGACTTGCACCTGCCACACGTGTCTCCTCTGTCCTGTCCGACTGACCAGCCTTCCCACCTGTGGTCAGCGCAGAAAGTGCCGACGCTAGTGCTCGAGTCTACAGCGTGTCTGCCCTAATGCTGCAGATGGGCTCCGTGGAGTCTCTCTGAGCAGAGAGAGGCTCAGCGCTGGCTCCTTCCGTCTTCTGGGAAGGTGGGGTTTCCTCACACCACAGGGCGCTCTCTGACGGGAGCTCCTGGGCTGAGGTGCTGATTGATCTGTTAGTCAGCTTTTCATGCATGATGAGGACAATGCAGAGGAGGAGAAGTTCGCTTTGACTCCTGGTTTCGGAGGTTCTGTGGCTGGCTGACCCCACAGCTCTGGCCCAGTGAGGCAGAGCATCTTGGCGGAGGGCATGGAGGAGGAAAGCTCTCAGGACACGGCAGCCAGGAAGCAGAGAGAGCTCTGTTCACCAGGGACAAGTACAAACCCCCAAGGGACACCCCAGTACCTACTTCCTCCACCACACCCTCCCTGCCTACAATTACTGCCCAATTAATAATCAGTGGCTCAACCCACTGATTAGGTCATGCCTCCCTGATCATTTTGCCTCTGAATATTCTTGTGTTGTCTCACATGAGCTTTTGGGGACACCTTGTATCCAAACATAGCAGTGTGCTGTGTGGCTGCTGTGAAATAATTTCAGAAAACCCTGACTCAAACCAAGAAGCCAGGTTTCAGGCTTTAACCATCAGGCACAGTACCACTTTGTCTGTTGGAAACTGGTGGTTCTTGCTGCTGTCCACCAAATAACTGCAGTTTTCCTCCTGAGCACAGGTAGGACTACACCACTCAGCCCCTATGAGGTTAGGTGTGGCCGCAGACCTGCTCCAGATAATGAAATCTTAATGAGCAAGTGATTTGCCATTCTCTGTGTCTCTCTGCCTTGGTAACTGGGAGTGTTGCCAGAAAGTAGCTCCTGCAGGTCCCAGAGTGCAGAGGTAGAGCCCCTGCAGGTCCCAGAATGCAGACGTGGAGCCCCTGCCAGCCCTCCCCCCTGTGCCACTGAAGTCAGAGAACTTGGGTGTGTTATGCCACACAGATTAACCCACTCAGGGGCTAGTGCTCTGAGCCATCCCACACAGACCTGAGATACAACTCAGTCTGTAACAAAGATGAATTTCCCCCCAGGCAGAGGGATTCCCCGCCAAAGAGGCAAATATGTAATTAGAAGGGCGAAATAGAAAAGCACTTGATGACTTTCAGAATGAACTGTTACAAGTATTTCTTGCAACCGTTTTTCCTTCTGTATTTCAGATGAAGATCTTTGACAAAAATAAAGATGGTCGGTTGGATCTTAATGACTTGGCAAGGTGAGTAGTGTGGAAGTGAGGACATGGATTCAGAGACACCTTCCTAGGGGTCTGAGGACAACATGCTTTCAAAATGGGGGGTCAACGGTCACCTGGAGGGCAGAAGATGATGTGCTTCTTAACAAACAAACCCCTGTTTCTGAATCTTTGGGGGTGACAGATCCCTCTGTGAAGATAATGAAAGCCCTTTCCCTAAAAATGTACAATGAGTAACATTTTCATGAAATTTTGTGAATGGACGGGTCATGAGCAGATCCTGTCCTCAAAGGTCAGACATTTATGGCCCCACATTGGGGCTGTGACCAAAAAAAAAAAAAAAAAAAATCATCTTGAATCCATTCCCTGGCTTTGGGAATGTTGAACAGTTGGCCTAGGACACGGCTGACAACTGAGCCAGACAAGTTATGTGCTCTGTTCCCAAGTGCTGGAGAGTCCTCAGTGGGACATCCGGTGCCTGAAGGGTAGACATGAAAGAGGACAGGATAAGAGCAGAAGTGACCGGATTACAAAAGTGCTGGCTGTGAGCCTGGGAACATGACATGTGTCGGTGCCACTTTGTGTATCAGGCTGCTTTTCATTGCTATGTTGAAATACTTGAGGTAGGCTGCCTCAAGTAAAGAAAAGTGATTATTTAGCTCACAGTTTTGGAGGCTGGGGGTCCAAACAGCACATTACCGGCTCTGGCAGGGTCCCCCTGACCGTGTGACATTGTGGTGGGCGTGTGTGTGGATCTCCACGTCTGTGCGGACTCTTTCCTTCTTATAGTGCCACCAGGATTCCATCAAGGGAGCGCCATTCAATTGAGCTAATCCAGTCACTTCCCAAAGACCCTCACCTCTAAACACCAGAGTTGGATTGCTTCCACCCTCCTAATACCACTAACGCAGATGTTGGGGGTCCACTCCTGCGGGAGTTGTACGTGGGGGACAACCCGGTTAAAGCACAGCCGCGTGTTCTGTCAAGGCCAGCTGAGCCCAAACAATGTGCAGTAGGTCCCTGAGCAGATGGCTAGAGTCACAGTCATAGATCCAAGATACACAGAGTAACCACGACCCTACGGGCAGGAGCCATGACACCAGCGTTCCAGGGTCGGGCTGGATGGCCACAGCAGTGGGCAGCTTCTGGCCAGCTGGGAGGGAGGATTCCAGGGACTGTAGGCAGGTTTTCAGAGACGAGGAGATATCGTGAGGATGTCACAAGCAGGGCAGAGTCCTGTCTCTTAGCACATGTCACCTGGGGCAGCTGTCTCTCCCTGGTAGCTGCTTGTGCCCTGTTTTGAGGGACATCTGGGAAGAGGAGCACACCTGGAAGAATCTCCCCTCTAAGGACCCTGACACGGCTGCAGCACCTGGATGGGCTTCTCTCTGTGCCTCTCAGGGCTGGGGGCAGCCTGAGTGTCCTCCCTGCCACTGCCCAGGCCCTCATCCTGATTTGGCCACTGGATGCAGAGGATCAGAGCGTTTCTCCCAAAGGCCTGGGGCAGCAGGGGTCACAGCCCGCAGTCCTGACTCTGCCCCCGCGTCCCACTGATTCTCTTGGCCAACATAAGCCTGGCCCCTGTCCAGAAGAGGTCAGGCAGCCGGGAAACAGTCAGTCCTGGGAGGAAAGTGCCAAGGTCCAAGAGATTCCTTCAACACATGGCAGTCATGGTGAAAGGGGAGTTAATCAATTAATTTTATTTTTTATGTATTAATTTTTTTATGTGGTGCTAAGGACCGAACCCAGGGCTTCATGCATGTGAGGCAACCGCTGTACCACTGAGCGACAACCCAGCCCAAAGGAGAGTCTAAGCCTCGTCACTCCTTCAGCAATGCTTGCCTCTCCTGGGCATTTAGGACAGATGGAGTCACACGGGGCACGGCTTTCAGGTCTCCTTCTGGCATTTGGCATAGCGTTTCCAAGGCTCTTCTGACTTGTAGCATGATCCCATCTACATTTCTTTTTAGGGTCTACTAATATTCCAGTATGTACACACTCCATGTTCCCATCCATTACTCCATGATTTGGGGTGTTTCCTCTTTTTAGATATTAGGAGTGTCACTAACCACCAGTGTTTCTGTACAAGCTTGTGTGTGAATACACGTCTTAATTTTCTTCATTTTATTCCTGTGAGTGGAATTTTGGTTCATATGGTAATTCTATAATTTTATGATAAACTGCCCAATGGAAACACCAGTTCCACACCATCTCAATTCCTATAGATTTGGAGCAAGGATCTAAAGTGGGATCCTCCAATTTTGTTCTTATTTTCAAGTTGATTTTGCTTATTCTGGGTCCTCTGCATGTTCTGATGAATTTTAGGATCAGATTGTCAATTTCTGCAAAAAAAAAAAAAAAAAATAAGGTCAGATTCTGATGATTTTGTGATTTTGTTGGAATCTCAATTTGAGGAGCACTGTCATCTTAACAGTACTGTGTTCTGATTGAGGAACATGAGCTCTCTTGCCTTTTGTTTGGGTGTTCTTTAATTTCTTTCCAAAATATTCTGTTCTTTTCAGTCTCGAGGCTGCGTCTGTGTTGTGAAGTGTACGTTCAAGTGTTTTGTTCTTTCTGCTGCTGTCTGGATGGAATGGCGTTAGTTCCATGGGTTTTGCCCAATGCTAGTGAACAGAGGTGCCTTGAATTTTACGGGGAGATCTTGTGTCCTGCACCCTTGTTATGCTATTTATTAGCTTTGATAGTTTCTTGTTTTGTACTTTGGATTTTTTACATATAAGATTGAGTCATCTACAAATACAAATAGCTTGACTTTTCCCCTTCATTCTGCTAATGTCTGCTTTTAATGGAATATTTTATCCACGTACATTTAATCTGATTCCTGATAAGATAGTATTTATATTTGCCTTTTTTAATTTGTTTTCTCTGTTATGTTTTTGTTTTTCTATTACTCCTCCGTGTCTCCTTTAAGTTGAATAGATATTTTCTAGTATACTATTTTAATTCCTTTATTATTTCTTTTACCATATACATTTTTAAGTTATTTTTTGAGTTATTCCTCCTCTCAGGGAATAAGATTACAATTAACCTCTAAATTTAGAACAACATAATTTGGATTAATACTAAGTTAATTTCAAGATTTTACTGAAACTTTGCTCCTATATAGTTCAAATCTATTCTTCAAATCCCTCCCTACTGTTTTGTGTTATTCAAATTACATCATTAAACATCATGTACATCACGTGCCTATCAACAGGTTTTGTTTTTTTGAGACAGAGTCTTGCTCTCTTGCCTCATACTCCTGGCCTCAAGGGATCCTCCTGCTTCGGCCTCCTGAGTAGCTGGGACTAGAAGCATGCACTACTGTGTCTGGCTCATAGATTTTTAATTATTGCTTTATGAAGCTCTCAGATTTTTACTTATGACGTTATGAAACTGTCTTTTAAAAGAGATAGAAAAAGAAAGTCACACACAAAAATCACATTTCTGCTTTTTGACTTGTGTCTGTAGTTACCTCTGCGGCGGTCAGTTTGTCGTTTCTCCATGGGGTTCATGTTTCTGACGGGCGCCTCTCATTTCCGTGTGTTTTCCAGTGTTTCCTGAGGGCTATGTGCACACCATTCATCCATCTTACCAAGATCAACCTCTGTGTGTGTGTTTTCTAGAATAAGCATTTCCTGGATTGCTACAAGAATTTGGTTCTTTTCCAGAGTTTTGAAAATGTAATTATTTCTTTCCAGTTTTCTCTTTGCTTTTATGGAGAGAGGATTTTCATGAGCCCACACTCAGCCCTTCCCACCACAGTCCCTCCAGGGCAGTACTGACGTCCATGGGTCTCTCTGTCCATCCCTTTACCTGTTCCCGTGAGGCGGGATTCCTGAAGGCCCAGCACCGCGCTGTTCTGCTGGCTTCCTGGGAAGCCGCGGAGTCGTTCCTCATGTCAGAGGTGTGGAAAGAGTGAGAGCTGATGGAGCTTCATGTGGATTTTATTTTATTTTTCCCCCTTAGAATCCTGGCTCTCCAGGAAAACTTCCTTCTGCAATTTAAAATGGACGTGAGTATGCCTTTCCCTAGATGAGTTGTGCCCTTGTTCCTCTGCGCCTTGGGGAGGGAGAGAGGAGGGGAGGCAGGCGTTGGTCCTTCTTTTAGCTTACTTAGACGCCAGCGAGGCTCAGAGTGGAATCAGTGACCTTGAGGGTCACTATTGGAGGTTTGTAGAGGTGCCCAGGACCAGGAGGACCAGGCTGGACTGACTGGATGCTCTCTCCACCCCAGGCCTGCTCCACGGAGGAGAGGAAGAGGGACTTTGAGAAAATCTTCGCCCACTATGACGTCGTAAGTGTCTCCCTGCGCTGCGATGGCCTCCGTGTGGGCACATCCTACCCACATTCCTGAACTCATGTGGCCAGTGGCAATCCCGCACGCGTGTTCTGCGGCCAGGGGTACCTGCTGCTCCTCTAGGGATGTCCAAGAGCTACGTATAAATGGGCCAGAGCATGTTTACAGTTGGAGGGGGATGAAACCACATGCCTTTTTTTTCCTTCTATCAAAATTAAGAAAGTTTCTCCTTTATGTGTGACTAAAAGTCCATTTATAATCATATGCTCATAAAAACATACCAACAAACCTCCCCATGTCCAACCCGAGGAAATGGAGGCAAGGCTGCACCTACTTGGCCATAAGAGCAGTTTCTGTCTCCAGGACCAACTGTGTGGTCATATTTCCGGGAGAGAAAAGCAGTCTAACGCGCCAGGTGCAGTTAGGAGATGGCCTTCTTGAGGACAAGCAGGATGACAGAGAAGGAAGAAGGCAAACAGCAAACCGGGAAGGCGCAGGCAGCATCCCCCGGAACCAACCCGGCTGGATGTCTGTGTTCTGTTCTGAGAGGAAGAGCTTCAGGGTCAAGGCCGAGGCTGCCAGGGTCCCAGTCACCTTAGGGCTTAGCGGACGGTGATCTGGGGCGGGTTTCTCACCTCATCGGCCTCCAGGAGCCGTGTTCTGTTCTCTGTAAAGGTAGAGGATAAAGACAGTAAACTTCCTACCTAATGCAGTCGCCATGTTTATAGTGCTTGGAAAATACACTAAGACATGGAATTTCCAAAATCGTATATTAGAAGCTCAGGATTAAGGAAATGTGAAAAGAATGGACACTTTGCTATCGCTGGGATGTTAGAGAACAGATATTTTAATGTTTTGTGTTTCGTAGACATCCATGTTTATATGAGTTATAAAAAGGGTAGGAAAAAAATAGTCTTATCTATAGATCAACTGACAATTATAATGGGTTCACTGTGTATAGGCTCCCCTGATTTACTCTCTGTGTTTCCATAATGACCAAGCCACTGCTCAGTCATAAAATGAAATTTTAAAATGTCAACCGATCCTTCAAAGGGCCAATAGGGTGTGCAGTTGCAGCAGTCTGAACTGAAGATCGGAGTTTGGGAGAGAAGCAGCCAGTGAATTTCACACGGATGCTGTTTCCAGGAGCTCAGGGACCCAGACCTGCTGCTTCTCACGTGGTGACAGGGAGCTGTCTGTAGGGAATCCCTCCAGTGCATGGGAACATCACGTTCCACAGGAAGGACATACGTTGGATCGGGCCATTTCTAGATCAGTTTATGGCTGCAGAGGAACACCCACTTGGTCTCCTCACCCACTTTATTCTTGAACCTTTTAACTTAAGAAAATGCTGTTGGGTGATTGGATCTTTTTATCTTTCAGAGTAAAACTGGAGCCCTGGAAGGCCCCGAGGTGGATGGTTTTGTCAAAGACATGATGGAGCTGGTCCAGGTGATGTCCCAAGGCTGTGGGGGCGGATCCTGTCAGGGACGGGGTTGCTGTTTTGATTGATTCCGTCTTTCACTGTGGGGGTGAGACAGAAGGTTAATGCCAGAGAGAAAACTCTAGAGATGTAGTCTATTTGAGAATCTTTAAGAGTCTGTGAAACTCAAGAGACCTCCTCACTTTCTTAAGATTAAATTCAACTCACATGAAGTTATTATAGAAACATCTTTTTGTTTTACCAAAATAACTCAGTATTACTGTATATTTTACTATTTTATTTTTTAATTGCAGAAGATCACTTCTAACTCCCCAGACTTGGTTATTAGAATAACTAAAATAGAAACAAAATTTAATTTCATATAACAAATCTCATATTTGGGATTGTAAATTTTTTTTTTCACCAAGAGGTTTCTTTCATACCTAGCAATTATCAAGCATTTTTTTTTTTTTTTTTTTTTTTTGAGTCCCAGGGGGTTGCTTGGCTTCATAATCTGCATAAGCAGGTAATTTCCAACTCCTTCTTTTCCAAGGGACTGTGCAGACAATGGATTCAGCATTTCTGAACCCAAGGCCCTTTTTTTGAGGTTTGTTTGGTATACAATGTATCCTTGTTGGTTCAGATAGCTACAAATTAGAATAACAATTACCAATCACTTTTGAAGCCCCAGAGTTCTTTGCATCTTATTTAAACTATGGAGACTCGAAACAGAAAAGTGTTCAGATAATCAATTTTTGCACAAGTCTCCAGGAAGTTCACTCCCTGGGACTCAGTGGGCCCAGGCCGTTCTTTCTTCTGTTAGTCGGGATGACTGGGCTCCTTCTGTGAGGCCTGACTCTTGTCAGTCCTGCCTGGCTGGTCCCTGTCCTCTTCTTTCCCCCTTGACCTGTTTTCCCTGGTGGTGACACTGAGGGCTCTTGCACCACCAGAGCTACCGATGGGCCCTTGTGTGGTATTTCCCTTTGCTTTGGTTGCTAGAGGAAAACCCCGTTCTTCTCATTATCTGTTTAAGAGATGATATGACAGAAACCAAGTCCTCACTGGTGGGACATTAAAGATGCATGCACCAGGAAGGGCCAGGCTGCGGCTTTCATTTGCTTTTGATGGGATGCGTGGGCTGTGAGCCTGGCTTGGAGGGTGCCCTCTCCAAAACGGACTCCTCATCTTACACAATAGGCGCAATAGTATCTGATTCCCGAGTTTTCACGATGACGAGGAATGATGTAAACACCTGTCACAGTCCCTGGGTGACAGTCAGACTTCCCAAAACGATCGGCTCATTTGAACAAAGCAGCTGGAATCTCTGGAGCACGTTTATGAGCTTGAGAACAGTTAACACTCAGGAGGGGATTTCTCGAGAGCTCCAGAGACTGTAACACTCTCTGCATATTGTAGAAAAATATTGGAAATAAAGGAAGAAACGAGTTGAGTAGTCGAGAGACTCTAGGCTGGGGATTCAGGTTCTAGGCTGAGTGTTCTGGGTCCCAGGCCGTGACTCCCAAGGTGACCTTGGCAAGTCATTTAGCATCTCCAAACCTCAGTTTCCTCATGCAGAAGATGGGAGTCACCATAGATCCCACCTCCATAAGGTTGACATGAAGATTATAGAGGAAAACCTGCATAATGTTGTGCTATTTCACTGTTATCTAGGATATTAAGCCATTACTGAGAGATCAGTAAATTAGCCATTATAAAGATCTCACAAATTGATCTGGAAGCTCTTAGCTTTTATAGCTTTAGTTATAGCTTTTGACCTTTGCTATTTCTGATTTTTCTAAAAGAAAGGCCAGATATCTATATCTATATTTCCTCTCAAAAATCACCACTTTTCAGCCTGGATAATCTTCATAATTTTCAGTGATTCTGCCCTTGAGTCCTCACTGTCTGGCAATAATTTCCAAAGATCCAAAGGTAAAGGTGGAAGTAAAACTCAACTCAGAAACAGAAGAGACATTTTTTCCCCCCAGAGAGAATTAAAGAGAAGGGAAAACTTGTAGCTCACAGAGCAGTTACAGTTATAGGAACAGAAGCCGGGATGGGGTGCAGGGGAGCTGCATGGCTGCAGTTGGCCACATGAGAGCACATGGGGGAAAGGCTGAGATGGGTGTGCAGGATGAGTGAGCCTGTGCTGGGCAGGCCGGGCTGCTGATCTCCGCTCTGGGCTTCCTGGGCATCCGTCAGGCCAGCGGCAGCCCCTCAGCTCCCTCCTCATGAGGAGGCTGTTTGTAATCTCAGAGGGGCTCCCCGAACTCAGTGTGTTTCCACATCATCGTCCCCTCCTGCTGTGGACAGGAGGATGTTTGGCAGGAGGGGACGACACCCGACCTAGAGGCCTGAGTCTAACATGCGCCTCCCCTAAGAGCTACCCTGAGCACGAATGTGCCTTTCATGTTTAGTTTATAAAGGTGACCCATACATCACTGGGGGTTGGACCCTGGAGACTAGGGGAGCATTGGACCTGGGGACTAGGGGAGCACTAGACCCTGGGGGTTGGACCCTGGGGACTAGGGGAGCAGTGGTCACTGGGGGGTGGAACCAGGGGACAAGGGGAACAGTAGAAACTGAGGCATTGGACCTGGGGGACTAGGGGAGCAGTGGACACTGGTAGGCTGGACCCTGGGGACTAGGGGACCAGTGGGCACTGGGGGGTTGGACTCTGGGGACTAGGGGAACAGTAGAGATGAGGCATTGGACCCTGGGGACTAGGGGAGCAGTGGTCACTGGGGGGGTGGAACCAGGGGACGAGGGGAACAGTAGAAACTGAGGCATTGGACCTGGGGGACTAGGGGAGCAGTGGACACTGGGGGGTTGGACTCTGGGGACTAGGGGAACAGTAGAGATGAGGCATTGGACCCTGGGGACTAGGGGAGCAGTGGACACTGGTAGGTTGGACCCTGGGGATGAGGGGAGCAGTGGGGGATTGGACACTGGGGACTAGGGGGGCAGTGGACACTGGGGGTTGGACCTGGGGACTAGGGGGGCAGTAGACACTTGGTTTGGCAGGAGTGTTCCTTATGTTAGAGAATTGGAGTGCACAGGAAAGGGAAGTGGTCTGATAAATGTACGAAGGCCACTGAAGGACAGAGTCATCTGTGATTCCGTTGATCTGATTATGGTGCACCTACTGTGGGGGAAGAGGCCGGTCCCGATGGTCCCCCACTTCCCAGGATTCAAGGGGTCAGATGGCCTTTCTTCAATCAGTGATCCCAGATCCATCCCCGCTTCCTCATGGGGTGGATGAGGAAAGTTGTGGAAGATTGTGGGCCTGCCTGGGTGTGAATCCTGGTTCAGTGTGACGACTGGGGACAACCCTGAGCTAGTCCCCTCCTCTGCACAGTAGGGATGAAGGTGGGCACAGCCTCATGGGCTGTTCTGAAGTGGGATTAGTGTGTGTAGAGCCCCTATGCCGGGAACCCTGTGGGCTCGTGTTGGCAACTTGCTGAGACCAGGGTCCCAACAGCCTCAGGTGAAGGGTCTCCGCTGCTCCGTGGACTTCTGAGCAGTAGCATTCCAGTCTCTGACTCACAGTGGGATGCCCGGCTTTAAAACAGAACTCAAAAGGCCCAAGGACAGGTCCCCTGGGTCCTCACCCACCACCCAATCACACAGAGGTACCTTCCACTTGCCTCAGGGAGGTAGCATCTTGGCAGGAAACAAGTCTATGATTCTCTTTTTTATTTGCAGTGCCGGGGCTCGCACTCAGGGCCTCGCACACTCTGGGCCAGCGCTCTACCTCTGAGCTATGTCTCCAGCCTGATATCCTTCAATTAGGAAAATCAAACTTACAATAATTTGAACGAGGTTAACGAGGTTAATACATTGCAAATTGATTCAGGCTATCACGTACATGACTCCCATGAGTCTTCTAAAGGTGAGGATTTGCCCAAAGGACACTGGGCAGGGTGCCATAGACCATAGAAAAGCTGTCATAAGGTCACTTACGGAGCTAAAGTCAAACATCCCAAAGGAGCTCACCACACGGGGCCTGAGTGCAGGTTGCTGTTTGGGGACTCCAAGCCATCTCCTGGGGACACTGGTATCCCTGTCTTTTACTGATACCCAGGGAACCATCCCTTGTGTGTCCCAACCAAGACCCTCTTGACAAGGGTCCCATCTGGGTCTCACAGGGCACCTTTGACAGAGGAGTAAAGTGGGCCAGATGATCTGCTCCCAGGCTCCTTGTCCTCCTGATGTCCCCTGAAGCCCTCCCCAAGCTGTGGGTCTGTTCCTCCTGCTCTGCCAGCTGGCTCCTGGTTTCTGCTGTTCTCTCCCCTCCTCCCTACTAAAAACCTGCTATCAGGGACAGTTTGGGTGTCAGTCACTTACCCTGCTGGAAAGTGCAAGTGGGCGTGTCTGCATGCGCCGTCTGGTTAAGGATCAGGAGTTCTTGATCCCTAGTCCCCAGAGTCCAACCCCCCAATCTCTCCTACTGAGGTTTATTTTAGAGGTCCTCCCATCCAGGAAACCTTGGGGGCAGGGATGAGGTGGGGGGCTCTTCCCAGGACCCCTAACATCAAATCCTGCAGGCAGAGCTTTTCTCTCTTCTTCACAAAACCACGGCGGAAACCCAGGGCTTGGCTGGGCTTCTGCTGGGCTGGGTCTCCCTTCTCTCTGGACACTGACTTTTTAATTTAGATTCCTGGCCATCCCCACAGCGGTCCTGCAGGAGAACAGTGCCACGGGGGAATGGGCTCTTAACTGGGGTCAGAGGCCGTGGGGTGACGGATGAGGCCCAGCCTCCAGCCGGGCAGGACCTTTGCTCTCCCTGAGCCTCTGTCTCCCAATCTGTAAAAGGGGTGCGATTGTCTCCCTCCCAGCCTTGCTGTGAGGGCCAAGAGAAACACGCACCTGGGGAAGAGCTCTGGGTTCCAGCATTGCTTGACCTTCTCAGACCTTCGAGCTGAGGCTTTCCCTAGTGGACACGCATCCTCTGGAGTAAGACCTCTGTCCCTAGCTCAACATGAAATGTAAAGCACTGGATTTCATCCTCCACAGCCCTTCTTTCAACCAGAGGCACAAAGCCTCCCACAGGGAGTTAGCAGAACATGGCTCCACTCTCTCGGGCCAGGAAGGAGCATTCTGTGATGCCAGTTCTCTGCTTCCAGCAAAGTCTCTTTATTATGATTGCTCATGAGACAGACTTCCCGTGAGAAAGCCATTTAGAAATACAAGTCTTTTTCTTTTTTCTATTTTTTTTTTTTTAATTTTCTTTTGCCTGGAGGGACAGGCTGAGGAATGAAGCCACTGGAGAGGACTTTTCTCTAGCAGTGCTGGCTCGGGTGAGGGGACACTCTGGGCTCCGAAGCTCCCAGACGGAGGGTGCTGTCTGGGCGATCAGGGAGGACACCGGGGGTGGAGCTGCCCCTTGGACCTTGCTTGTTGACCTGCTCCTTTTGTCCTCTGCAGCCCAGCATCAGCGGGGTGGACCTTGATAAGTTCCGGGAGATTCTCTTGCGTCACTGTGATGTGAACAAGGATGGAAAGATCCAGAAGTCGGAGCTGGCTCTGTGTCTTGGGCTAAAAATCAGCCCCTGATCTTCACCCAGCTCCACCTTTGCCTGCGTGTCCCTCTGTGCTCCTGCTGTTGAAGTTGTCCCTGGGCTTTGCTGCTGGGGACCCAGGGCAAACTTCTCCCCGACACGTGGCGCTCTTGGTGAGGGTGGGGAAGGCCCTCCTTCCTCTCCAGAAGCCCCCGTGCAGTGCTGCTTGGTGTTGCTTTGCCCTGGAGCCTGGGCCAGCCTGCTGGTCTGCTCTGCTCGTCCCTCCCAGGTCTGGATGGCTGGGCCTCAGGCCGGTCATCTCCCGCTCTCTTCCTGTGGCTTTCTGCTGAGTCGGCCGAGTGTGTGGCACCCACAATGTAGAGATTTCTGTGTGAAATAAATCTGCAATTGAAAACAAAGGTGTCCTGGTCATTGCTTTTGTGCCACGGCCCTCGAAGTGCTCCTCTGATGGGTTGTGGACAGAAGCACCTGTTTACCTGGGGTGGGTCAGGGGCAGCATCCTGAAGGAGCCTGCTGACCCCAGTGAGCGGGCCTGAAGGCGGAAGCTGCCAAGCATCGCCTTTACTGGGTGGGGAGACCAGGACGCGCTTCCTGGGTTTGTGCCCACGTGCTGGGTGAGCAGGCCCGGCCAGGCAGTAGGACTACATAGGAACCTGGAGAAGGACTCCCCGGTGGCCCAAGCACCTGCCCCCCACCCCCGCCGTCCAGCAGCGTCCCTGGTGAGTCTGGAGCACGGAGCCTTCTCTGCTGCCCGGTTCTTCCCGTGGGCCCCTGTGCATGCTCTGGCCCCCCGGCAACTCTGCCGCTTCACTCTGGAGCTCAGACTTGTCCCCGTGAGAGGTCCCCGGGGGAAGAGGGGAGGAGAGATGGCTGTGAGGGGACCCTGCTTTCCTCTCTCTCAACACTTCACTCCCCATGGCGACATCCCTGCCTGGTCCCGGCTGCCCAGGAACCTCGGGCTTCACGCAGCGTCCTGGGCACAGCTAGAACGGCCCGTTACGAGCCCCTCATCACTAAGAGCCCTGCCATTCACGGGATCCCCGTCATCGGACCCTGGTCTAACCCTGTTCTCTGACCCCAGGTCCCCTCCCTCCCCACGCAGATCATGAAGGTTAGTGGGGAGACGTTTCCCAGGTAACTCAAGCAGCTGCGTAATAAGAAAAACCACGGTGGGTTCCTGTCCAGAGCCCAGGCCCTCTTCCCGTGCTAGTTTCATGCACCGTCAGGAAACATGGCTCCCCACAGTGGTTTGGCCTTGCTGTGGATCCCCCGCAGCCCAGGACATTGCCCCGAGTCTGCATCCTTCATTCTGGGGTCACACATCACGAGAACTGAGAGTCCAGGAAGCAGCATGGGGCAGGTGACATGCCAGCCACTTCTTCTCGTTGCCCTGGTGGGTGGTTGACCCCACACACAGCCTTGGAAGGACAGACGTCCATTCCAGGGCCAGTGCTGCCAAACCCACAAGAAGGAAAATGTCCATGTCCGGGAAGCCGCGTCACTCTGCAGAGCAGCGATCCCTCTTCCTGGTCCCCTCCCTGTGGTCTTGATAACACGATTCATTGTCTTACTGCAGTTGAGTTTATTTTATATTTATTTACTGTGACACCTTTTATGCTTGGCATGATAAATTCTATTCTATTTGTCACAAATGTATTCTTCTGTTTCTATTTTTTTGAACTTTTTAATTGTGGTTTTATATATCTTACATTTATATATATATATATATATATATATATATATATATATCTTCTAAAATATATGTATCTTCTAAAAATCAACTTTTTAAGTGTAAAATTCAGTGGCATTAATTACATTCACCATCTTATACGACCATCACTACTATTTATGTCTAAAACTTATTCACTGCCCCCAATAGGATCTCTACTCATTAAATGACACCCTAATCCCCTTCTCTCCTAATCCTCTTCTCTTGAATCTTCTTTCCTTCTGAGACATTCCAGATCAACTGCGTCAGACAACTGCCCTTTGTGTCTGGCTCCCTCACATGATGGGCTGGTGATTCTTCCCCGGGCAGCCAACAGCAGAACTCCATTCCTTTTTATGGCTGGATGATATTCCACGGTGAGGAAGGTCCACGTTTTGTTTGCCCATTCATCGTGGGTGAACATCTGGTTTGTTTCCACCTTTCGGTTATTGTGACTAAAGCTGCAGGACACGCTGGCACGTGTGTACCAGGGTCACATTTTGCAGCTCTGGTGTGTGTACCTAGCAGCGGGACGGCTGGTTCCCGTAGTCATTCTGTTGATCATTTGGAGGAACTGCCACACGTTTTCCACGGAGCTGTGACATCTCACACCAGCCACGAATGAGAGTTCCAGTTTCCATCTGCTGCTCCTGAACACAGCTCTTTCTGGAGCTGCCCAAAATAAGTGCTGGGCCAGTGGCCGGACAAGACCCACTTCCCTGACTTCGGCTACACTGGAGGATCTTGAGGGTCTCACTCCGCCATGGCCGCACTGACCTCTAGCTGGCCCCTCTCCCTCCTTGCTGCAGGCAATGCAGGTAGGGGTGGCTGGGGGGAGGTTTTCTTTCAGGGATAACCGTCCAGATCCACGGAGGGCAGCCCCCAAGGCTCACAGGTGGCACGTGGCTGAGACTCACTGTCCAGTCCAGCAAAGCCCTTCCAAGCACCCGAAGTGAGGGTGGGGGAAGATCTTCAGGTAGAAAGAGCTGGGTCGTTCCACCCGAGCAGTGATCTCTCGCAGAAATCACAGACCTCTGGGCCGCACCCAGACAAGACGGGGAGACAAGCAGCCTCAGAGGCCTGGCTCGATGAGGCTCGGCTTCAACTCACCTGGGTCTGGGTTCCTCAGGGCGCACGCAGGTCTTCCCAGCAGCAGGCATCCAGCTTACTGATGCTTTGTTGGGCTGAGGACACTCAGGGTCATGGGCACTTCCAGGAAGAGCTTCACGTGGCCCACGTTTCCATCTGACGGAAAAAGCCTGCTTCCCCCCCCCCCCCCCGGGTCTTCTCCTCCTGGGCCAGCCTGACTGAACCTTCCCTGGACACCAGGTCTCCGGGCTCTGTTTCCTCCCGTGCTCTAGGACGACTGCTGGCTGCTGTCCTCTTGATTGCTGGCCAGCTGCACCCTCCCTCCCAGCAGAGCCTGCTCCCGCACCCTCCATTGCCATTTTCCTCCCGATTCCTATCACCCTTTAATTAATAGCATCTCAATTCCAGTTCTTGTGCTCTTGTGTTCTCTGTGTGAGTCCATCCCTCCACAGGTGGGAAGCTCCAGCAAGATTTGGAAACCTGTTGTGGGCTGTGGCTAGTGACTGCAGCTGGCCAGCTCTGCTCCTACGCCAGCGTGCGTCTCCACACCGTGCCCAGTGGGAAGAGCCCCCGGGAGGCTGGCCACCTGTAGTCGGACCTAGTTCTGACTCCCTGGCTGTTTAGCTGGAAAGCATCAGCTCATCTCCAGACATCACTTCCTCATCTGCAAAATAAGAACACCGACTTCCAGGAAAGCCCCGGTGGGAGGCATTGGGCGACTCCTCCCCAGGCCCGGAGAATTTTATCAGCAGTCCTCAAGCACATGAAGAAGTCAGGGTATGTCTGGAGAAATCCTCTGCGGTTTTGATTCCAGCTAAGTCAGAATTACAAAACAATTTTCCCTCCCTTCATTTGCTTAAATAATGATAACAGTGATGATGATGATGATACTTTTCAGGAAGAAAAAATTACTGACAAAATGACAAAAGATAGCTATGATATTTCTCCATTCCCCCCTTCTCTCACTTCTGGTTGTTTGTAGAACAGTTAAATGCCATTATTAATTAAAACAACAGCTTGGACGTTAGCAGAGTGCCAGCCTTAGCGCATGGAAGCATCTGCTCCTTTCGCACTGAAACGGCAGATATTATGACTTACCAGTAACTACAGACCAAAGACAGTTTGAAGCTCAAAGTTGCTTTTATGAGTCAAAATGCTCAATGGGTTCTGTGAATATGGCCATGTGCAGTATCAGGGCAGACGCAGGCCATTTGGACAAAAACGTGCACCCAGCACTATAGATGCTGCAGCGCATTTCAGGTCAGGAAGAACCTGTACTAAGGGAAAGCCTAAGTCCACGAGAAGAAGCACATCTGAACGAGGAAACCACCACCCGGCTGTCCTCGATCCCACGCCGCTGCTCCGTGTTGCTCCCATGCACAACCCGTGTGACCTCGGTTTCCTCCTGTAATACACAGAAATAGCAATTATAGTACTACTTCGTGGTTGGTGAGGAGGTCGTAGGAGTGAAGGGGCGACTGTGTGTGAAAATGCTTTTATGAAATACAAAGCTCTACCCACGACAGGCAGGGGGGCTGGTCATGGTGGAAAGAGGAATGAGGCTCGGCACAGTCTCTCACCCCTACTCCATGTCCGCACCTCACCCTTCAAGCACCCCCTTGCAGTGTCCAGTGGTCCCTCGGGTCTGTGCATCCGACGTTCACATGGGCCGAGCCCTGGCTTCACTCTGGGGCCACTGCAGGACTTGTTCTGCTCTTGGTCGCTTCCTCTCTCGAGTGTGTCCTGCTCTTAAACACAGAAGAGCAGTGAACCTTTCCACCTCCCCATGGGGCCTCATCAGGGCATGAACCGAGGGACAGCTGGACTGTACCTGGCCTTGAGCTTCAGGAAACAGCCGAGCCTGGTGCCGAAGCAGGAGCTGAGCTGTGAACAGAGAGGGCTAGAGTGAGGCTTCAAATCATTTCTCTTTTATGAATCAGAAAATTCAGGAGATAAAGCAGGAGACACATTCAGTTGTGAAGCAGAGAGAACATTTCTTTTCTAGGGTGCTCTGTTAGGAGACTTTAGGTGGAACAGGGGACTTTCTCTCCTCTGGGCCTGAGCAGGGTTCCAGGGAGCTTTGAAACAAGCTTGGATCTTGCTTTCCTTTAGTCCAGGTGGTAATTGTGTGATCCTTTGTTGAGCACGTAGAGGCTGCCAGCTGGGAGCCAGTGAGTACTTGCCCCAGAAGCAAATCTAAGGGGTCATGACATAAAAGCATTAATCAAGAAAAGCAC